ATAGATTAGTAAATAAAAAAAATATATAAGAAAAATTTAATTACTAACTAAAACCCTAACCCTAATTTATTAAAGTAAGAAAAGATTAGATTAGTTTATTGTTAATTAAAAATAATTAGGTTTAGAAAAAGAAAAAAACCAAAATGTATGGGGTGGGTGTTGAACCCATGCCCATGATCTCAACGAATGCCCTTCTATCCACTGCGCCACCATGTTGTTTGTGTTTGGGAAAGAGAATCAATCAACATATTGTAAATCTGCGCGTTACCCTGAAAAACAAAAGAATTTGGCAAAAAATGGGATCGAACCCACGTCCTTTACTATGACCAACACATCACTCACCACTACGTCATCTGTTGTTTCTTGTTAGTTAGTCAGCACCATTAAATATAATATAAACAAAATCTAGAAAATCAGAAGTTAAACAAACTTAAACACGCGCGTGTTAGTGAGGTTAGAATATTTGAATCAGCCAATTACACGATGCAACACCTAGATCGCCTGAGCCAGAAGATTCAGCGCCACCATGGACGGTGGTCCACTTCGTCTTCTTCGGCGAGGGGATTTTGACAACCCACAAAATAAGCAAAATCAAAACCCGAGATTAAGGCTATCCCCCTAAATCGACCCATGCAAATTGATTGGTGGCATTAGTTTTCCTGAAACGACCTGGAGGTACTGATACGAAGGGTATAAAGGCATTTTGCTCTAGTCATGGAAAAATAATATTCTCACGTTAGAGCTTCTGTTTTATGATTTAAACTTGTTCTAAATAACAATAAGAACTCATTTGAGCGGTTAATAAACATTAACAATGCATGAAATTAATTATATGAATGTTTGAAAGAAAAGTAAATCGTAGAAGATGAGTGCTTGTTTCAAGCATCAATGGCCATGACTTTCAACCTATTTTTACCCTTAGATACCTCAGGATTGATTTGCAATGGATGGCTTGGACTGAAAGTGGCTGAATATTTGGTTTTGACTTTTCCCTAATTCTTGAAAATTTTGAGAGCTTTAGGGTTTTTCTTTGAGGAAAATTTCTGTGTGTTTGAATGTATGAACATGTTGTCTATTTATAATGGAAAAGATTAGGTTAACAATATTGAATCAAATCTTGTGCAATCATGGTATAATATTTGATTTGGAATTTGCATGAAATCTTTCTTTATTAGGCCAATCTAATGCCAATCAATCTCACACGTTTTTGCTAACTGGCCATGAGCTTTTTAGACTTATGTTTTGCTTCAAAATAGATCCATATGCCTTATATCATTTATTTCGTGTTTTATTTGATTTATTTTGATTTTAATTGAATAAAATCAAAATAAAAAGAAATAAAAAACCCAAAAAATAAATAAATGGATTTAGGAGTCTAATATGAGGTCAGGAACATGTATGGACCTTAAAAGATAGGCCCATTAGCCCAAAAATTCAAATTTTCTCAATTTGGATTTCATGCATTTTCTCAAAATTTCCCAACTTGCATCAATCATAACACACTCAATTTTTATCATATGAAGGTGATCTTTGACTTTTTAGAAACCTCAAGATGTCTCCTACAACCTTCATGTTGGTCATTTTTTTCATTTGCAGACTTTATCTTGACGCGAATTATTTTGACAAAAAGTGGTTTTTATTGACTTTTAAAATGACTTGTAACGTTTTAGCCCATATCTCAAATGAATCATTTTTGGCCTTGAGCTTAGAGAGACAAAGTTGTAGATAATTGAATTTTCTTCAAAATGAGCTTTGGTTGAGAAATTTCTGATGAAGTATGCGAAAGTTATGCTTGGTCAAAGTTCAGTTGACTTTTTCTATAAAAAAACCCTAATTTAGTAACTTTTGACTTTTGATGAATCTTGAGTTTTCTTGATGAATCATGATCAACCCTTGATCAAATGATGAATGTAACTTCAAACTGTTTATGTTGACTAAAAATCTTGAAGTTTGACTGTAAATTGGTCAAAGTTGATTTTTTGTCCAATACAGTTGATTTTCAATCATCTGGCCAATTGACTGAGCAAACTTGTGCTGCAAAGCTTACAACTTAGTATGAGTATTCTTTTAAGAATATAAGAAACCATGAAATCCACTTGAGGCATTAGAAGTCCAATTTCCTTTGAGAAAAGTGAAACCCTAGTTGTAGGTCAACTACTTAGAGGAGAGTTTGTCTGGTCAACCCTTGAATAGTCTTGAGCAATTGAGAACCCTAGGATCATGAGGAGGTATCTTGAATTAATTTGTCTTGAAAATGGGAGGGAAATTTTTTGGGTACAACAAAATGTCAAGGTCGAATTAGTATAAATTAGAACCTTTGTGTTAGGATTTAGTGTGTTCACTTTTTGTACAAATCACTCAAATAAACTCGAAGTACTAAGTGTTAGAGAAAAGAGTTATTGAGAATGTACGTATTGAAACACCAGTTTATATTCAAAGTCATTTGTTTTTGGGTTAATACCATTTTACCCCCTTTCCATATAGGTGAATTCTGGTTTACCCCGCTGTAAATTTTTTTTTTGTAAAACCGACCTTGCCACTTGAAGATTTTGTCGTTTTAAACCTTGTAATTTTTTTTTTAAAACAAACCTTTTCACTTGGAGATTATGTCATTTTAAACCATGTAATTTTTTGTTTTTTTAAAACCAACCTTGCCCAATCAGGTTCCAAAGGGTTTAAATGACAAAACCTTCAAGTTTACAGGGTTTAAAATGACATAATCTTCAAGTGACAAGGTTGGTTTTACAAAAAAATTTTTTGTAGGGTTTAAAATAATTAAATCTTCAAGTGGCAAGGTTATTTTTACAATTTTTTTTACAAGGGGGTACACCATAAGTCGCCCATATGGCAGGGTGGTAAAATGATATTACCCTTTATTTTTTAATCAAGTCTTTTACATTTTATTTAATCTTAAGTCGAATTCATTTACATTCTAGTTCTTACTTTGAAGTCCTTTTTACCTTTATCTTCACGCCTTTGTCTTTACCCTTACTTTCGTTATAATCATTATTTCGATAACTAGTAAATACCCAGAAACATTAGAAAAATAATATTAGACACATGTCATATGAACAATTTAGTCGATCTTGCGAGTAACCAAAAAATTATCTTTGTTTTGGAGGATTAGCGATTGTTTACTAAATTTCACGGTAAACATTAAGAAGGGAGAGAAAGAAGGTTGTAACAAACTTGTTTTGAAAGAATCTCTATTAACAATTGCATTGAAAAAACCTAGTTACAAACTTGTTTAAATACACAAAATAAACTACCACATAGGCCCTAACAAAAGTATGCTTAATAGTTAAGCTAACAAAACAATCTAGAACCCCAGAAGCTAAACATACTTCTAAGACGTAACCTCAGAAGCATTTACTTCTGTCTAACACAAATACTTTGGAATATGAATTACTTATAACACAATCCCTTAATTCATATTCATCTAACTAAATTCTACAACAACAATTTCATTCCTCAAACGGATAAAGTGTTCAGTCTTGACAGCTTTTCTTAGAACATTTGCAAGTTGCTTCTGGATGCTACAATGTGCAACTTCTAACACTCCATTCTGAACTTGACTTCTTAGAAAAAATGAAACTTCATGTCAATGTGCTTGTTTCTCCCATGCAACACTGGATTCTTGGCAAGGCTTATAGATGATTTATTGTCAATCATAAACTTCACAGGTTTGCTTACCTTGATCTTCAGATCCTGTAACAAATTCACCAGCCAAACAGCTTGACATGCAGTCAAAGCATATGCAATGTATTCAGCTTCACAAGTTGACAATGCAACTACATGTTGCTTCTTTGAGCACCAAGAAATAGGACTTCTCAGATACTTGAATAAATATCCAGAAGTACTTCTTTTATCAATTATGTCTCTACACCAATCAAAGTTTTGAATAGCATATCAGCTCTGCTTCAGTTTTAACACCAAAAGGGAATAACATTCCATACCTCATAGTCCCTTTAATGAACTTCAGAATCTTGACAATAACTTGGTAATGTTACCACTTTGTTTTGTTCATAAACCTACTCACCATTACAACCGCATAATAAATGTCAGGTCTAGTGTTACACAAATAACTCAATGAGCCAATCAACTGTTTGAAAATTATAGCATCTACATCATCACCCTCAATATCAAAATCCAACTTGTGATTCGTCTCAACAGGTGTGATTGCAGTCTTGCAATTTATTATCTCAAATCTCTTCAGAAGCTCAAGTTCATACTTCAGCTAATGCAAAATTATACCTTTCTCAGAGCATAGAATCTCTATCTTGTCGCTAGGCGAAAAAACACCGAGTCTCCATTGAGCTTTATTTATCCCAAAGGGAAGGGGAAACATAGAAAAAAAAATCCCAAAAGGAAGTATAAGATGGTCTTGCAACCAAGATACGGGTTCAGAAGTCGATTATGCAAGGGAAGGTATTAACACCTCTCATATCCATTGTACTCAACGGGATCCATTCTAGTTGTTCTAATCAAAGAGTCTTATTATCCAAAGGTTTACTTGCTATGAATAACGAATGATAAAGGGGGAAAAATAATTTTTAAATTAGGGTGCTCACATCGGTTTTGAAACCTCGTATCTACGTACCTCATAGTGCAATAAGAAAGTCAGAACTATGTAGTTTGTCTAGAAAAGACTTATTTATTGGTTGTTTTTTAGTAGGCGATGTCACATTCATATTCTAGCAGTAAAGTGTTTGTCGCTCGTTATGTGGAGACTCACGCGTTACCTGTTTGCGGTAGAATGGAAATAACATGCTATTTTTTAAAAGGTTTTAAAATTGAAGAGCCCTAAGGCAAGATGTCACATTTGATTTATTGAAGATTGCTTGTTAGGAGACGTATATCAAATGGTCACTCAAGAATGAGGGTACTTGAATGTACGGGAAGTCGAGAAGGAATATCCCCACCAACTTCTTTTATTATGAAATTGTTTGAGATACGTATTATACTAAAGACTATGAAATGAGGGTGAATATTTTGTACAAATGAGTCAAGTGTCTAACGTACTAAGTACTCTAAGGTGAGGTAAGGAAGGCTCCCGCTCACTGTAAGAACAAGATTGGTTATGCATCTGGTCTTAAGTTTTGATGATAGTTTTATATGGTATCTTAGAGAATAATTGTGTACTCTAATAGTTTATGTCTAGTGTGTAGCTTTTGCTAAACAGGTTTTGACTCTGGTAGAAGGTGTGTGACGTCATCAGGTTATGAACTCAACACTCTGAAAGAATACATATGATATGTTACAAAGTTAAGTCAAGATCCTGGAATGCTTCTTCTGTAACGGTTCTAAGAAACGCTAGTACAAGAACTTCTGATTGTGACTTTACAAGGAAGCTTTTTTTAGGCCTTCTAAAACTTTGCTTCTGTTGTCCAAAGTTTTGAAGATGCTGAAGACAAGGTTCTGCTGAACAAGTTTTGAAGATCTGAAGACATTACTTATGAATACCAGGTGCTAAAGACTCTAAAGACAAGGTTCTGCTGAACAAGTTCTGAAGACTCCAAAGACTTAAATTATGAAGATTCAAGTTCTGATCCTTCTACAACATGCTTCATCAACATACACCAGGAGTCTCTGAAAAAATAGAAGATAAAAATCAAGACTAGTTTGCGTGAGATGTTGAATATAAAAGTATAAAGTATATTGAAAAATTACGCGACTCTCTCTTATATAATAGGGTGGTTATAATAGATTGTTGATCTATATGCGTGGAATGCGGAAATTCATTTGATGTATCTTTTGGATCACATGCATTTTTAATTAAGATAACATACCTATTTTGTCAGTTACACAATGGATCGCTTGCAATGTAGACCATAATTATAGGACATTTTGGGCCATCCATATTAATCATCATATTCAATTATTAATAAATTATTTTTAAATTATATTATGGTCCATTGGTGTTAATAATTATTAATTGATGAATAATTTATTTGGACTCATGAAATATTGATTCATTCAATAAAGTCCAATGAAAAATCTTTATCTTTGACCATTTAATTATTTAAATATTATTTCTATTAGAGGATTAATAATATTGTGAAAAGCTATAAACAAAGTAATTGTTGAGATTAGGAAAAAGAGTTAAACAGATAACAATGAATCTGTACCTGCCTAAAACCCAGTACAAATACAACCACTGACTATGTATGTATTTTTTCAATATTATTTCTTTTCCTTTTTTACAAAATAAGAGTAACAACAACGCATAGTCAGCAACGCGCATACGACACGCATACGATCCATTTATATAGCTAAAAACGAAGGCTGAGTTTTCACAATTTCCTCTTCTCCGTTATACTTTCATTTGAATCATTCGTAATCAACGTCACTGTAGCTTTCTGCACACAGTTTTGCATGAATTGATTCCCGATTTACACATCAATGACGAAAATTTCACGGTATGATTAACCTTACTTTTTCTTAATTATCATTGACCATTTTCATCTCCATCCATTTTTCTAGGTTTTCCATTGATCTGAAACCTGGTTCCTCAAATTCATTCCAACGCGCGATCTTCCAATTTGTATTGATTTTGAAATTTGGAGTGTCTTCATGTTTGCCAATCTAGTTGAATCATTCTCGTTGCAGGTACAATTGGATCGTTGCGATGAAGACGCGTTCTGTGACCGCTTGCTTCAGAACATGCATGTTGTTGCCATGAATGCGAGTTTCGTGAGTCATGACCGTTTGTTGCATCCTACAAACTTTAAATCTAGAATCGCACGGGATCTCTCACTGGTGCGGTGTTATGCTTTCGTTTTTCTTCATGGCCAAAGATTTTTCATTATCTCTGGATTTTCTCCGTCTCTGACATAATAAGTTATCATCTTCAATAATGATGTTATCCGTTAAGGTATTTACGCTAAACTTTAAGTTGAACTTATAAAATTGTTGAGGAAAGTTCTATTGAGTGTAGTTTGATGTTAATGAAATCATTAGTAGTTCCATGCATATGAAATTAATCAGTAGCCTAATTAACATATGATAATTTTTCTAGTCTATTGCATAAAGATTTGGTTTATGAGCGTATGCTTTTTTCATGATTTAATTATTGTTAATTATTTTTGTGTTTTATCCAAAACTAAACGGTGCGATTGATCCACTCAGTCAATCTCATAATTTGATATCAAATTTTAAATAAAATCAGTAAATTGTCTTCTTATTAAAATTTCAATTATCTTTTAAATATATTTAAAAAAAATTGTTTGATTTATAAATATTAACAACTTATTTATATTAATATATAAATATAAATAAGTTGTTGATATTTAAAAATCTATAACTTTATTTTTTAAAAATATTAAAAATATAAATGATTTTTAAATATGTTAGTTAGACAATTGATTTATTTAACATTAAAAATATCAATTTTTATTTGTAAAAAAAGTTGTTGATTTATAAAAATTTTAAATTTTGTGTATTAGTAGTTCCATACATATAATATGTGAAATTAGTCACTCGCCTAATTATATCTACGAAGATTAGTTAATTGAATGAAGATTTAGATCATGATTCATGACAGTATGTTGTTCTCAAGATTTGCCAATTGTTAATAATCTTGCTGTTTGTTCAGTTTACAAGTAGACAATAAAATTGATCTATTTGAGGTTAAGGTTGGATAGCAAATTTAAAAATAAAACCATTTCCCTAGCTAATTACTAGTTTTTGTATTAAAATTACTTTTTTTTATTTTTTATTTTATTTTTAATTATAAATTTATAAATATCAACACTATATTTACATTAATACATTGTTGATATTTTTAAATTAATATTTTTTTAAAATATATTAAAAAGATAAATAAATATTTCAATATGAAGACTAAAAACTTGTTAGGAGATTTCTTTTTTTATAACTTATAAAACCTCAATTCATATATATTATTTTAGATTAGGCCTGCACTTGACCCAAATATTATATAAGGTCCAATTCGACGTACGATTAGTTCGGGCAATGATCGTATCTGATCAGAATGAACCGTCACAGCTTGCTTCAAGCAGAATTTGAGAGTGAGGTATGTGGGTACCTGCAAGACACTCTGATGTCAAAGTAAGTTTCAGAATGAGCAAGCAAGTGAGTAAGAAGTGTTCAATACCTGACCCTCTCGAAAGAGAGGGTATTTATAGCCCCCACTGCTGGGCCAATGTCTCCTCATTTGGCTGGTCAAGCAGGCCTAACCTGGAGACTGTCAGGTCCTACGTGAGTAGTGGGGACTCACACGTGGTCCCCAACCTAGATGACTTCCTCTGCAAGATCCAGAGGTTATGAATGCGATCTTTCCGGAGTCACGAAGACTCTATAATACTCGGAGACATTGATAGTCATCCCTACGAGGAGGATGCTTGTGAGGTGCTTCTGCTCGTTGTGAGGTCGTGCGATAGGACCAATCTTGGTCGAGGAAAGAACCAGGGCATGACCTCGAGGTCCTCCTGACCGACAGTGATCTTCCTAAGAGTGACTGGGTTCATCCCCGTGCGGTGAGGCTGTCTCCTCGCGGAGAGTAGTTGCTTCCCGATGCAGTCGAGGGTAGAACTGTCTAGCATGCTTTGAACGACATGATTAGATTGGGCCTCACATGGAGTTGGGCCCAAGGCAGGCCCAAGGAAGGCCCAATGCAGAACAGGAGCCCCCCAAGTCGTTGCTCCTGAGGAAGGAGTTATGACTTAATATCCAGCTTCTTCTTTCGCGAGGCGAGCTGCTCGATGCGGAGCTTTCATCGAATTTGATGGAGAATGTCGTCGGTATATTGTTTACCCGAGCAGAGTTCGGAAAGGATTCAAAGTGGAATCGTTCTAATTGTTGCTCGACTCGCAGGGAGGAGATAGCGCACATGTCAAACACGTGGCGTGACCTTTGGGATAACAACGATGGCATAGGAAATAGGGGTCATCATTAACTGAGCACGTAGGTGTCGAGGAGAAAGGCGGCTTATGAGCTGCCCGATGCGACGTTTTGGATTCCACGTCCGCCCTATAAATAGCGCTTCAAGGCCCATTATTCCCTTTTATATTTTCGCTCTCTCCACTCTCTCTACTGCCAACATCGTGCTGTCCCCTACAACCGTTGAAACCGCCGCACATTCTGCCGCATATTCCCTATCTACCCCCGTCGTTCTTCATCTATTCTCCTTCAAGTAAGTAATTTTTCCGTGATACTCTATATGTAGATTAGTTTTGATGATGTTTTAGTAGTAGGAATTCGCAACTGGGGTTTTGCCTGGGGGATCCATGCGTTTAGGCGTATGATTCGTGATTAAGCCCGAGAGATTCATCTTCTTATCGATACTCAGATGAATCTTCCCTGTGGTCTCCCTATGTCCCCGCGAAACTCACGAGTTTTGCCCATAAAATTGTTGCGTTCCCCGGTGAATAAATGAGTTTGCTTGACAAATTCATGAGTTTGGTCGGCAAATTCATAATCTTCCCGTCGCACTCTTCCCATGCCTGGTGTGTTCATGAAAAATGTTCGTCGTTACAATCATTGTGTGATTTTATAAGACTAGTATGGTTTTCATGGGCCGGTCAAGAGACATGTATTTCCCCTTTCTACGCGAATGACTGTTGACTTGGTTTGGGCATTGCTTAGCCTCTTCATCTGCATCGTGGAAAAATGGATTTGGATTTGCTGTCGAATTCATTGGTTTCCTCTGCTTTGCAGGTAAATGGCTAACACTCCCGAATCGTTAGAACATGTGGACAACGAGGAGACCAGTGTAGCCGAGGTGGGTGCCAATTTGGTCGACACAGTCGACGATCCTGCTTTGGATTGGGTTGGTGCAGAGCCCCGAGGAATAGCCTCGATACTTTTTTATACAAGGATGAAAGCCTATACTGTCGTCGAGTATGGCAGCGACCGGGAAGGTTTTCAGAGGAACTTCAAAATCATGAGGCTGACGCAAGATGCTCGCATATGCTCGGAGTTCACCCAAGATGCCTTCTCTATGTACGAGGCTGTATTCAAAGACCTGGGACTTCTACTTCCCTTCAACGACTTCCAAATGGGGGTGTTCAATCACTTGAACTTGGCATCCTCTCAGCTTCATCCCAACTTTATTTCCTTCATCCGGGCATTCTAACTTACTTGTTGGTTCCTGAGGACCGGGGCGACATTCCCTTGTTCTTCAAGGTTTTTCATCTGCAACGGCAGTCTCGGGGAGTGAAACGCAACTGGGTATCCTTCAAACAGTTGAAGAGGCTATTCATGATGTATATGGATTATGTCCGTGATTTTAAGGACAGGTGGTATGTCTTGCAACCTTCTACCCAAACAGCCTTGGATGCCCTGTTCGACCCAGCTTCTGTCGTGGACGAGGATGGAGAACCGTGCTACGACGCCAAGGGTAATCCAGAGATCGGGAGAATCTCAAAGTTTCCCATCCACTTGTGTTCGGACCACTATGACCATGGTCCTAGACATTACCACACTTCCGCTGGCGGTATGGGCGCCAAAGACGAAGAGGCATATGGCATCCTCAATCGATTCGTCGACGGTTTCTTCCCTGCCAGGTGGGTCACGAGGGAAGGACACGACGTCCTTCATGAAGACGGCAAACCAACGTTCGAGGCGCGCCCGATTAACACCAAGACATTGGTCAAATGTCAATCTTATGGACAGGTCGTGGAACTTTTAGGTTTTTACTTGCTTGGTTCTTATGTTTTACTTGCCTTCTTGTTTTGTTTTCCCGAGGCTGACCCGAGGATACTTTTTTGTTTTTGCAGGAAACATGGCGGAACATCACGAGAGGTTGTTGAAGCTGACCCAAGAGAAGAAAAGCCACAAAAGGTTCGTGAAGCCGCAACAACCTTCACGCATGGGCCCAGTTTCTGAGCCGACCAGGGAAGGATCTAGTGGGTCATCGAGGAATCGCATGGCCGACCATCAAGCTGCTGTGTTGGGCAGGAAAATAAGTCACCTGGCAGATGGGACTACTGATGTGATCGAATGGGCCACTGCTCGAGCCTTCAGCCTCCCGCCTTGTTTTATTGAGAAGGACTTCTTCGAGGGTTTCCCCCTTAATAGTGTCCGACATCATAAGGCGCCTCGACGACGAAGGTCAAAGGAAGCATTTGGCTTCCAGTATGGTTTGGATGATGAAGATGGCGGAGATGGACGTGGTCCTCGCGAGTGAAGGGGCCGGCTCCTCTAGTCGGGTCAGGGAACTGGAGTCAGAAAACGTGACTCTTCAGGCGAAGACGTAAAAGCTAAAGACCGCCCTTGAACAGAGCGAATATATGTTTTGGGAACAGGTTGATGCTCTGGAAGGGGAGAAAGAGAGAGCCAACAAAGCCCTCGAGGAAAAGGACTGCCTCCTGCTCAACAGAGAATTGTGGGAGAGTGAAAGGGAGCGGTTGGAAATGGAAGTTGCTGATCTGAAAGCTGCTATGGCGCCCGTGGAGAACGAACCCGAGAGTGTAACTGACTTGCGCACTCGTGCAAATTTAGTTACCCGTATCCAGATCCTTGAGTCAGTTTGCGTCGATGCCTTGGCCGACGGTTTTGAAGCTGTCGTGAACCAACTGTCGGTTCTGAACCCGGGGCTTAACATTGAAGGAACCGGGGTTCTGTCTCATGTGATCGATGGCTGGGTTGTTCCTCCCCCTAATTCTCCCGAGGTCGAGGCCGGTACTCCGAGGAGCGATTAGATTTTTCCTTTTGATAACTGATTTGTAATTGGGCCTGCGTGCCCATAATTTTTTATAATATTCAGACACTGTAGATAGACATTTACAATTGTTTTGCTTTGCTTTGATGCCACTATTTTTTTTTATGTTAGCTTATTATTATTTTTGTTTGTCGTTGCATTTCTTATTTACTCC